TATCTCTGGTATGGGACTTCTGAATCAGTTCCCCAGGTAATTTTAATGAACAGTCAAATTTTGGAACCACTGGCATTAACTCCAGAGAGGGGGAATAGAAGCAAAAAGTTTAGCCTTGGAGTCAGTCAGGCCATGTTCAAATCCTAGTTCTGCCATTACTAGCTCTGTTATTAATATTTTGCATATGTTATTTAACCTGTTTCCTCATCTGTTAACCTTAAAGGATTGTGGAGATTAAATTTTAAAAGGCTTGAAAAAGTTGAGCGTATACTGGACCCTTAATTATGGGATATTCACTATGGAGGGGAAGATGGTAGCCCAGGATGGGGCAGTCATAGAGGGCTTTTCGGAGGAGCAGGTAATCCACCCTTGCTAGGGTTAGGGTTGGGGTTGATTTGGATAGGAGAAAGACTTCTGATTACACAGTCTAGCAACAATCAAGATGATAGGTGATGATATTAGAGGAATACCAAATCACAAAGGAATTGATGCAGTTTAGTGGCTGTTTAGATGCAGAGGAAAGGGAAGAATGAAAGGTGAGTTCTTTGCCAAACATACAGTTTTTAAGGTCACAAAGGGTCAGCCAAGGGAAAGTGTACATTCAGGATTGGGATTTAGGAGAAAGCCTTGTGCTTAGGAAGTAAACATTTAGAAGTAAATAGATCATAAATTATCATTGAGAGCCTAAGAACAAATGATGGACAGAATTTTATAAAGATAGAGAGATGAAAGCAAAAGATTTGGGGAATGGAATGGGGTTCCAAACTAGTGGGTAAGAAGAGTAGGAAGCAGAAGAGAAGGAACAGCAGGAGGTGGGGAATGAAATAAGAGAGTGGACTGTGTATATAGTTGTAGTTGTCTGAATAATGGTCCCCAAACATGTCCAGGTGCTAATCCCTGGAACCTGGAAATTTATTACCAGACTTCACAAAAGAGATTTTGTAGGTGTAACTAGATTAAGAATTTTGAGATGAGATTATCCCAGATTATCTGGGTGGGCTTAATGTAATCACTAAGATCCTTGTAAGAGGGATGCAAGAGGCTGAGAGTTGGAGAAGGCCATGTGGTGACCAGTAGAAACAAGAATGATATGGGGCCATGAGCCAAAGGGTGTGGGCAGCCTCTAGAAGCTGGAAAGGGCAATCCTCCGTTAGAGTTCCAGAGGAAACACAGCCCTGCGGATCCATTTTAAACTTCTGACTTTCAGAACTGTAAGAGGATAAATGTGTGTTGCTCTAAGCCACTAGGGTTGTGGTGATTCATTTCAGCAGCAATAGGAAACTAATACAATAGTTAACAATTACAAAACTTAAATATCAGCTGGACATGGTGGCTCCTGCCTGTAGACCCAGCTACTAGAGAGGCTCAGGTGGAAGGATAACTTGAACCTAGGAGTTCAACACCAGCCTGGCAATATAGCAAGACCTGCCTCTCAAAAAAAAAAAAAGAAAAAGAAAAAGAAAGGAAGGAAGAAAAAAGGGAGGGAGGGAAGGGGAGGAGGAAAAGGAAGGAAAAGAAAGAAAGGGAGGGGAGGGTTTTTTTGTTTTTGTTTTTGTTTTTTTTGAGACAGAGTCTCACCCAAGATAGAGTGCAGTGGCATCATCATAGTTCATGGCAACCTCAAACTCCTGGGCTCAGGCAATTCTGCTTCAGCCTGTAGCTGAGATGACAGGCACGTGCCACCATGCCTGGCTAATTTTTTCTATTTTTACTAGAGACGAGGTCTCACTCTTGCTCAGGCTGGTCTTGAACTCCTGAGCTCAAGTAAGAGTGCTAGGATTATTTATAGGCATGAGACACCGAACCTGGCTGCATATAACATTCTTATTGTCCAAACAATATAATATGTTTAAAGCACTGTTCTAAGCTCTTTCATATATTAACTGATTAAATCCTCACAACAGTGCTATAAGGCAGGTACTATTTATTATGTCCTGTTTACAGTCAAGAAACTAAGGCTTAAAAAGATTAGGTTAGTTGCTTAAGGTCACACAGCTGGGAAGTGATACCTGGGATTTGACTACTAACCTAGTCCAGCTACAGATTCTGGGCTCTCAACCATTTTGCTATATATTGCTTCAAATACAAAGAAAAAAATTAATTCATGACACTGCTTTGAAAAATCCAGACATCATCCATCTGCCTGCAGAATTTGCATAGGCAAACATATGGTAAAAATAAAATTTCCCATTCTGCTTTTTTCACAAAACATGATACAGTATAGCAAAGCATTTTGCCATGTTGCTTAAATCTTCTAAATTGTTCGAAAGACCGCATCCTTTTCTATCAAGGGGATAGACAATGAACTAACATAACCAGTCCCTTGTTACTGGGCATGTTGATTGTTGCTAATATTTCATTTGAAACATTAACAGTTTTTTTTTAATTTACATGCAATAAAGTGCAGCCATTTTAAGGGTACAGTTTGGTAAGTTTTGACAAATGTGTAAACCAGTGCCACTAACACAATGAAGATCTAGGCCGTTTTCATCACCTTTGTTCTGTGTGATGCGCAGGAGCTGGCTAGTACCCGCTTGGGAGAGCTAGTGTGTGCATCTCTTTCCAAATCTGCAGCAGTGACATCTCGTCAGTAGCTCAAAGACGGTTGTGGTGGGAGTATTTACACTGCAGACATTTACAGCACACTTACTCGTGCCACAGATTAGGCTTTTTCCCCCTTTTATTGAGAACCAGTTTATCAGCACCACGACTTATGCTCCTGTGCATTCAACCACCCTCCATTCTACAGCCACAGTCTGCTTTTGGCCTCATTTTATTTTGCATTCTCTAGAATTTTATATAAATAACATGTGGTATATGCTCTTTTGTGCTGCTTTTGCTCAGCGTGTTTTTGAGATTCGTCACATTCTTACGCATATCAGTAGTTCATTCCTTTGAATTGTATTCTATTGCTTCAATATACCATACATTTATTCGTTGATCTGGTGATGGACATTTGGGTTGTTTCCATTTGGGGACTATTATAATATTATGAATTAACTTGTCATGAACATTGATGTGTCAGTCGTTGGATGGACAAAAGTTTTAATTATTCTTGAATAAATAGCTAGCAGTAAAATTACTGGGTCATGTGGTAAGTTAAAAATTTTATATATAAGGAGCTACAAACCCGCACACCATTTCTTTTACTTAATTTCTTTTTTAGAGACAGGGTCACGCCATGTTACCCAGGCTGGAGTGCAGTGGCGCAACCATAGCTCACTGTAACCACCTTGAACTGCTGGGCTCAAGCGAACCTCCCACCTCAGCTACCCAAGTAGCTAGGACCACAGGTGCCTGCCACCCCACCTAGGTCATTTTTTAAAAAATTTTGTAGAGATGGGATCTCACTATGTTGCTCAGGTGGGTCTTAAACTCCTGGGCTCAAGTGATCCTCCTGCCTCAGCCTCCCAAAGTGCTGGGATTGCAAATGTAAGCCACTGTGCCCAGCCTACTTAATGCTATTATACATAAAAATTGCCTTGTTCATGAACACAGACCTTCCAAATAATTTTAGTGCTTTAGTCCTAACCATGAATGGACACTTAGGGATTACCAGGTGGTTGAAGAAATTCTCTGACATGAAGAACAAAGACCAATGAAGCAAGAAAAAAGGGAACTTGGAGGAAACAGAAAAAAAATGCAGAGAACAGAACAAAACAAAATCTAAATTTCAAACAAACATGATAAATACTCTCAGATATGGAAATGTATCCATGAAATTAGAAAAGGTTATATTAGAAAAAGAATGTTAGAGGGTGGGCGCAGTGGTTCATGCCTTTAATCCTAGCACTCTAGGAGGTCGAGGCAGGAGGATTGCTTGAGGTCAGGAGTTCAAGACCAGCCTGAGCAAGAGTGAGAGCCCGTCTCTACTAAAAATAGGAAAAAAAGTTAGCTGGGCAACTAAAATTAGAAAAAATTAGCCAGGTGTGGTGGTGCAAGACTGTGGTCTCTGTAGTCCCAGCTACTTGGGAGGCTGAGGCAGGAGGATTACTTGAGCCCAAGAGTTCAGACTAGCCTTCGCGACATTGCAAGACCCCGTCTCTAAGAAAAAATTAACTGGGCACAGTGGTGCATCCCTAAAGTCCCAGCTACTTGGGAGAGCGAGGCAGAGGATCACTTGAACCCAGGAGTTCGAGGCTGTACTACGCTATGATTATGCCACTGCACTCCAGCCTGGGCAACAGAGTGAGACTCTTGTCTCTAAAAATAAAATAGAGTTACAGACAGAATAGCAAAAAGTGGAGGAAAAGCAATCATCAAAGGAAAAATTCAGGCCAGGCATGGTGGCTCACGCCTGTAATCCTAGCATTCTGGGAGGCTGAGGCGGGCAAATCATTTGAGTTCAGGAGTTTGAGACCAGCCTGAGCAAGAGCAAGACCCCATCTCTACTAAAAAAATAGAACGAAATTAGCTGGACAACTAAAAAAAAAATATATATATATATATTTTAGCTGGGCATGGTGGTACATGTCTGTAGTACTAGCTATTCAGAAGGCTGAGGCAGGAGGATCACTTGAGCCCAGGAGTTTGAGGTTGCTGTGAGCCAGGCTGAGGCCATGCACTCTAGCCCAGGCAACAGAGTGAGACTCTGTCTCAAGAAAAAAACAAACAAAAAAACCCCCCATAATCTAAAAAAAAGGAAAAATTCTAAATTATCTCAGAACTGAATGGCCTGCATTTCCAAAATGAAAGGCCCACTGAGTCTACAACAAAATGGATGGAAAAAGGTCCATACAAAGACACATCATCATAAAATTTCAGATCAATGAGTAAATAGAGGATCCTAAAACCTTCTAGAGAGAAAAGGCAGGTCCCATTCAAAGGAACAACCATGACAATGGCATTATGCATCTCTTTAACCCTGCTAAAAGACAATGGAGGAATGCTTTCAAATTGTTTGACCTATAATTTTATAAATTAGGCAAATTATGAATTCAGTAGTGTAAGCTTATTATATCAGATGTGTGAAATCTTCCTATCTCTGTGCCCTTTCTCAGGAAACTACTGGAGGATGTGGTACACCAAAACAAGAGAATAAACCAAGAAACAGGAAGACATGTGATCCAAGAAACAGGATATTTAACATAGGTGAGAGATAAAGAAAACTCCCAAGATGATGATGAAGGAAAATCCCAGCGTGATAGCTGGCCTGGCAGCAGGCCCAGAGAGCAGACAGTCAAGATCGGAGCAGGAGGACAGAAGCTTCCAGGAGAGGAGTATCCAAGAAATAAGATGAAATGAATAGAGGAAAAATTTTATACTTTTAGTGAATGGTGAAGAGTGAATTCATTGTAGGCACATAGAAAACTAAGCAAATAAAACACAATTTTGTTTTTATGTATAATTAATTCCAAGAAAATTTTTTAAATTATAAAAAAAAGGGGAAGTGTAATAGTAGACTAAGTTTCTCAGCTATGAATAATATTTACAGATGCATAAACAGAGTATATGGATTTCCACCAACCCCAGCACGCATAGACTTTCCCTCTTATGGTCCAAGGTGGCTGCTTGACCTCCAGCCATTGGAACTGCATTCCAGCCAGCAGGAGTTCTCTTCCAGCTATTATGGGTTGCTTTTGGTTAAATAGGAATTGAATGAATGAAATTCAATTAGTAAACTAAAACATTAAATAAATTAATAAATTAAATGTTGAATTAAAATATTAATAGAGAATGAGTTTAAGCAAATAGCTATGGACAAAAACATATACACATACATACATATGTGTGTGTGCATATATATATATATATATTTTTTTTTCATTTGAGATAGGGTGTCACTCTGTCCCCCAGGCTGGAGTGCAGTCCCTGGTCATAGCTCACTGTAACCTGGAATTCCTGGGCTCAAGCCATCCTCTTGCCTCAGCCTCCCAAGTACCTAGGACTTTAGGTATATGCCACTATATCTGGCTAAGTTTTTAGTTTTCTTGTAGAGACAGGGTCTCACTATGTTGCCCAGGCTGATCTTGAACTCCAGGCATCAAGTGACCTTCTCACCTTGGCCTCCCCAAATGCTGGGATTATCGTTGTGATCCACCTTATTCAGCCAAGTTTGACTACTTTATTATTTTTTTCATTTCTAAATATTAAGGGGGTACAAATGTTTTTGTTACATAGATCGCTTTTATAATGCTTGAGTCAGGGCTATTAGTGTGCCCATCTCCTGAAAAGTGTTCATTGTACCCACTGATTTTTTTTATATATATATTTTTTACTTTCTTCTTTAGAGAAACAATTTAAAGATGGAATACCCATTGATTTTTAAAAGCTGGCATTTAAGGCTGGCTGTGTTGGTTCACGCCTATAATCCTAGCACTCTGGGAGGCGGAGGTGGGAAGATTGCTCAAGCTCAGGAGTTCAAGACCAGCCTGAGCAAGAGGGAGACCCCCATCTGTACTAAAAATAGAAAAATTAGCCAGGCGCCATTGTGAGCACCTGTAGTCCCAGCTACTTGGCAGGCTGAGGCAGGAGGATCCCTTGAGCCTAGGAGTCGGAGGTTGTGGTGAGCTATAATTGCTCATCATTGCACTCAGGGTGACGGAGCGAGACTCTGTCTCAAAAAAATCTCCAAAACACCTGGAAATCAAGCAGGTGGGAGGGGGGAAGAGGGGATGGGCAAATTCACACCTAACAAGTAAAATGCACATTATCTGGGTGATGGGCACGCTTATAACTTTGACTCAAACTGTACAAAAGCAATTTATGTAATCAAAACGTTTTTACCCCCGTAATATTCTGAAATTAAAAAAAAAAAGTGCCATATTGGTTCTGCTCCGGTGGGTTTGAGAGGGAGGTAGAATACTGAACTTTTCTGGAAGTGGTGTTGGGGAGTCAGTGTAGAGTTGAGAAATACACATTGCCATAAATGGTGTGATCCTACTCCAAACAGCTGAGCTCACCCCCGGGCTTCATGAGCCATACACTGGAAGTTTCAACTGAAATAAACTTCTGACCTTTCCATCAGTTCCCTGGAGTAGGTCAGGGTTTTATAGAGTATTTCATAATCCCATTAGGAAGAGATTTGAATTCTTAGGTTCTGTTACTTTAGAAGGCAGCAAAGATGATGATTACTACTAATAATATAATCCTAGCGGTATTCCTATAATGCTTTATAATTTACAAAGACCTGTTCCTTGTATTCTTCTCATTTTGCTCCCTGGTGACTCTGTAAGATAGCTATTATTATTCCCACTTCACAGCTGAGGAATCTGATGTTTTCCCATTATCCGTTAGAGTTCAGAATCTTTAACAAGGCCTAAGTCCCTCCATAGTCTGGCCCCTGCCTACCTCTCTGGACCTCTCACACCACTTTCCCGAAGAGCTTTCTTTATTGCAGCTATCCTGGATTTCTTTTGTTTCCTTAAATAGGCCTGCTTCTTTCTAGCTACAGGCTCATTGCACATGCTGTCTCTTCTGCTTAAAGAGTTTTCCTCTCCTCTTTGCCTGGCTGGCAACTGCTCATCTTTTAGGTCTCAGTTTAACATTTCTTCAAGGGAGCCTTTCAAGAACAATCAGGCTCCTCCGGACTCCTGGGTAATACTTTTTTTTATAATACATTGCACTTCCCATTCCAAAGAGTGATCACATTTAAAATTACTCATTCAATATCGTCTCTGCTACTGTAAGCTCCATGAAGGCAGAGACCTTACGTGATAATGTAGCTTCATTGCAATATCCTTTTGCAGTGAAAGCTTTTGCAATCACTGCTAGCTGAATCCCATAGCCATGGTATTAATCCTCCAGAACCTTGCCTTGAATACTGCCCTCAGGTCCAATACTGTGGGACTTTTCTGACAAGAGTCTTCTGATAAGCAGAGTCTTCTGATCGGTAACCAAAATGCATACCTGCCATGTCAAATGGCAGGTTGTAAGTGGGAACACAGTGCCACTGTATTATTTGATAATGACTAGAAAAGGCTGGTACTACTCTCCCCGGCCTTCTGTTGTTTCTATGATGCTCACATACCAAGGAGAGCCTGTCCCCGGCATCCAGCTGGGGGTGGTCAAGGGCGGACCATAGATGACAAGGACATTTAAAGCTAGACTGTTTCTATCTCAGGTCCTTCCTGGGTTTAGTGCACACTTGGGTCATTTCTAAATGGATGGCACATTTATTTTATTGGTTGGAAGCAGTGAGGTATAGTCACCAAATTAATGGGGCAAGCATGGGAGTGGAGGCAGCACAGTTGCTCGAGCTGGCGTGCAGGCGTTTAGCAGGTAAGCAAGCCCCAGTGGGAGGAACTCATGGCCATTATTTCAACAGCAGCAGCAGGCTGAAGTCCTTGCAGATTGGGAATCTGTGAGAAGGGTGCTTTTTTTTTCCTTTAAAGCCAGGTACATCTCACCTCACCAAAGGCTTCATGAAATTCATCACCATATAACTTCCTAAATCCAGTTAATGGTGATACTAACCAAAATTTGTAGCCCAACACCCAGGCAACAGTATATAGGATTGCAAGTGTTAGTTCCAAATATAGTGCAGTTCACATCTCCAGCGAGGGAAGAACATTGAGTGAATTCATTACATGAGCCACTTAAACTAATTGAGCCGGGAGCTTAAAGCCACATTCTTCAAATATGTGCGCTCCACAAAACTGGCATTTAACATCAGAAAGTTAGGCTACAGAACATTCATGAATTGATGAATCTAAGCAAGGAAGAAACACTTCTCAAGGGGTGCATTTGCCAGCTGCCACTTTGTTCACAAGTAGTCTTTGGTGATAAGGTTCATGACTTAGAACGTGACCGGTGGGGACAGGCCTGAGCCTGGCATACTTAGCTTCGTAAGGCAACTGAAAACGTGGTACTGGTCCCGCAGAGGGACAGACAAAGGGGGCACAGCTTATCTTCGTTACTAAAAATACTCAAAATGAAAATAAAAAAAAAAATAAATTTCCGTGGTTTAAGCCACCCCAAAAAAAAAAATACTCAAAATGCAGAGTATGAAAACATAGCTGGGAGAATTTGCCCTGAACTGTTAATCATGAATGTCTCTGGGAGGTGAGTTTGTAAGAAGAGATAGTCACTTTCTATTTTTTTCCTTCAATTTTTAGAAAATTCATGAAAAGAGAATTTTTATATGATTAGGGATTAGTGATACAATGTTCTCAGATGAACAGCAAATTGTTACAATGAGATTGGTAAAGAAAAACACATATTATGTAACTATTTTCAACCCTTAACAAAAAATACATTTGCATATATTGGGTGTAGAACAGGGTGGTTCAAGAGACCTTTCTTCAGTGATGGATACAATCTGCATCTGTGCTGCCCAATACAGCAACCACTAGTCAGCCACACATGGCTACTGAGCACTTGATATGTGGCTAGTGCAACTAAGCAATTTTTAATTTTATTTTAATTAATTTAAATGGCTACATATGGCTAGTAGCTACTGTATTGGTCACACAAGTCTAGAACCTTCCACTTGCTGGGAATAAGAAATAGGAGTGTCAGGAGGGGCAGAGAGAGAAGCCCAGATTTGGTGGCCAAGAGATTTAAGTCATGTACTGTTTTATTGTTCATCCAATAGAGATACCAAGAGATACTCTATCAAACCCATGAGTGTTATAAGAATGAAACAGAAGAGGCACTTTTTTTTTCAAGACAGAGTATCACTTTGTTGCCCAGGCTACAGTTCCATGGCTTCAGCCTAGCTCACAGCAACCTCAAACTCCTGGGCTGAAGCGATCCTCCTGCCTCAGCCTGCCAAGTAGCTGGGACTACAGGCATGTGCCACCATGCCCAGCTAATTTTTTTCTATTTTTAGTAGAGACGGGGTCTCGCTCTTGCTCAAGCTGGTCTCAAACTCCTAAGCTCAAATGATCCACCCGCCTCGGCCTCCCAGAGTGCTAGGATTACAGGCGTGAGCCACCATGCCCGACCAGGAGAGGCACTTCTTTACGCTTGTAAAGGCCACATCATTAACTTCATCCTACCAAGTCCCTTTACATTCTCCTGACTTTTAAGTACTCCAGTGATAGAAGAGGGAACTAACCTATTAGAAAACCAACAGCCAGATGGGAGTGGTAGCTCACGCCTGTAATCCTAGCACTTTGGGAGGCTGATGCAGGAGGATCACTTAAGCCCAAGAGTTGGAGGTTGCAGTGAGTGAGGCTGACACTGCTGCACTCCAGCCCACGTAATAGACTAAGACCCTATCTCAAAAAAAAAAAAAAAAAAGCAACGACCGTCTTATCTCAAATGTTTTAAGTGCTTTGTATGTTTTTTAAAAAATTCTCTCCATCTCTCCTCTGTTATTTTGCATTCCATTCTTGTCTTGAGACTTCTTCCATTAACCTGTTAGCCACTCAGTAAACTGAATTTTTTCTTCTCCTTCTTCAGAAGTGCAAGCTAGTAAACATTAAGCAGGACAAGAACATCCAGAAGGTTAGTACAACTAATGCAAGGTAATTGGTACCCTAATAAATAAATAATGGACTGAAATTGCAATGTAATGTGTAATACACCTGCACAATTTGTCAAATTGATAAAAGTTAAGGTTGTTTAGGGTGGGGGTGAGGGGATGTCTCAGAGGAACATACTAGTAGTGTCAGCCAAACCATGGCAAGATTTAGTTATTATCTTTTTCTTCTTGGTTATCATCTTAATTGATGTATGGCATATCTGCTGTCAGCTGCTGGCAAGCTCCCCAAGAAAGCACAGATTATGATAGTAAACTATGCTCTTTCTTTGCTGCTAATTCCTCCCCAGTGTTGGAAACAGAAGTTCAATAGTGAAAGCTACAGCTGCAAGATACCAGCAGTGGAACTGCAGGAGCAATCAGGGTTTATAAATGGCAGTAGCAACCCAGTCGACTTCCCTTCATCTGACACTGACATCTATCACAACGTTTGCCATCAAACTTAGTGGTAAAACCACCAAGCCTCTGATTTGGTTTCGCAGGGAAAGCAGTTGTTTGGCCCAATGTTTTTTTAACATCAGTGTCTCCTATTCTTGCATTTGAAACCAATATCTCAGTCACTTTGCACCACGATTGGTACAAGAAGGCATGTTCCTTCTTGGATGGGTGTTTGGTATTATTGCAAAAGATAGTCTTATAAGACAAACCAACTCTGAAACCCTAAAACTAGTATCTAGTAACAGGTTCAGTTCTCATCAGGCAATTTATTTAGTAAAAAATGATACTGTAACTACAATCTGAGCTATTTGATCAAGGGGACAAAAAAAGATGCTGCAAATGTAGATTCAGCACTATAAACATATTACCAAAAGCTTTTATTTACTGACTTGCCAAAAATAAAAAGAATATCACTAGCCCTCACATGTGGCTCCATTAAGTCTTTTTTATTCTATTTTTTAAAATTTATTTCCCACATATGATCATTCCCATCCAAGAAATCGTTCTGATAACATTCTAAAAAGTTCATCCCAGCACAATTCATAATTGCAAAGATACAGAACTAACCTAAATGCCCACCAGCCAATGAGTGAATAAAGAAAATGTGTGCATTACACACACACACACGGAATATTCCTCAGTCATCAACAAGAATGAAATAATGTCTTTTATAGCAACTTGGATGGAACTGGAGGCCATTCTAAATGAAGTAACTCAGGAACAACAAAAGAAAACAAATACTACATATTTTCACTTATAAGTGGGAGCTGAGCAGTGGGTATGCATGGTCATACAGAATGACTTAATAGACACTGGAGACTTGGAAGGGGGAGAAGGAAAGAGGGTGAAAATCATCTATTGGGTACAATGTACACTATTCAGGTGACAGGTATATTGAAAGCCTAGACTTTTCACCTATGTAACAAAAAACAACTTGTACCCCCTAAATCTATTTAAATTTTTTTAAAAAAGGTTTTGGGTTATAGAGTTTGAAGAATCTATTTAAAGCTACAGAGGTCCTATTCCCAGTTACACACAACAGAAAAATACCCTTCTTGTTCCCTGAAACCCATCCTTACAAATCGCAAGTTAAGAATTCACCCATTACTGGCCGTGCTCGGGTGGCTCACGCCTGTAATCCTAACACTCTGGGAGGCCGGGGTGGGTGGATTGTTTGAGCTCAGGAGTTCGAGACCAGCCTGAGCAAGAGTGAGACCCCGTGTCTACTAAAAATAGAAAGAAATTAGCTGGACAACTAAAAATATATGGAAAAAATTAGCTGGGCATGGTGGTGCACACTGGTAGTCCCAGCTACTTGGGAGGCTGAGGCAGAAGGATTGCTTGAGCCTAGGAGTTTGAGGTTGCTGTGAGCTAGGCTGACACTATGGCACTCTGACCCTGGCAACAGAGTGAGACTGTCTCAAAAAAAAAAAAAATTCACCCACTACTGCCCACCGTTCCAAAAGGCTTTACTGATTCTCATTAATTGAAAATAATGTAAAACTCTATAGGAAGCATTAACATATTTGTGTTTCTTTCAAACCTGATTTCCACTAAAATTTTAACCCAAGTATTTTGCCTGGCCCAGTCTGACTGTAGTCTTCTAATTGTGGAGAGATGACCTGGAAGAACACAGGTTTTGGAGACTGGCAAGCCTGGGTTGATCACTGGTTCTTACAGTTATTTGCTGAATAACTAACTTACTTAGCTTTTCTGAGCCAGCTTTCTTAGGACGGGGCTATTCGAAAGGTAATAATTTAGCACAATATCTGACATGTAAGTGGCTGGATTAGGACCTTTGGAGACCCAAAGCATCGGGGCTATGGTACCCAAATCGTTCATGGTATTAGTAGGAAAAAGAACATAAACTGAGTTTATGTTTAATAGGTTTAAGGTTTAATAAAGGAGTTATTTACATAGACGGGCCAAGTTCAGGGGAAGCAAACAAGGAGTAATCTTGAGCTAGTGAAGGAGTATTCCTTTCCATCCCTAGATGTCAATAGGCAAAGGGCAGGAGCAAGAAGCTAGAGGGGGCTACTTGCTTTGTGTTTGCCTGATAGGAGATGTGGTCTTTGGTAGAGGGACACGGACAACCAATGTGACCTGGCAATGAGAAAGCCAGGAGAATAAATACTCTGACCATCCCTTCCTTATGCTTTTTGATCTTTAGGTATTACTAATGGGATAAACACAACCTGCAGGTGGAGGGCAAGGGAAGCTTGTAGCCCATGTGGGTCAGCACCTCTTGGGGTCCAGACCGGCACGAAGAATGGTTCTGAAAGGGAAATGGGAGATACCCAGCCTCTTGTTATAACCGGGGGGGGGGGGGGGGGGGGGGGGGGGGATTCCTTAGTTGTCACGTTTGGTGTCACGAACGCCACATTCGTCGTCTGTAGCAAACGGTCTTGCTCTTGCTCTGTAAACCTGTCTTGCTCTTCCCCAATAAACTTTGTTTTGTGCTTGCCTTGCAAAAACAAACGGTCTCACTCTGTCACCCAGACTGGAGTGCAGGTGCATGCTCATAGCTCACTGTAACCTTGAACTGCTGAGCTCAAGTGATCCTCCCACCTCTGCCTGTGAGTAGCTAGAACTAAAAGTGTGTGCCCCCATGCCTGGCTAATTTTTTATTTTTTGTAGAGATGGGGTCTCACTATGTTGCCCAGGCTGGTCTCAAGCTCCTGGCCTACTTAACACTGTTATATGCAAAAATTGCATGTATGCTGAAACTAAAATAACTTCTTTCCAGAATTTGATTGTAAAATTCTGTGAGTTCTCTGATTAAAGTTGCATTTTTCTCAGTCTTTTTGGTGCCCCTGCTTTGCTGGTGCCTTAAGTCTATCAATGTCTATCTTGATAGACTATAAGGTAGCCCTGAGCATGGAACCTGGACAAGGGTGCCTCAAAAAATGGGACTGAGTAAGTCTCAAGTTAACTCCTAAATGCTGACTGTCAGGGTCTCTAAGAGGTTTTGAGAATCTAGAAGGAACTTAGAAGAAATCTCAGGATTTTTCTGTTTAGGATCTAGTCATTAGGAATTCAGGAACTGGATTTTCTTGAACTTGAAACACCCTATGGTAGTAAAACTTAGTATAATCCTACAGAATGACAGGAAAGCTTTTGGTTTCTTATCAAGGAGAATGAAAGAAATCAGGACATCAATTTCACATTGACATTTTTATTAACGCCAACTGTTTTTTAATTATTATTTTCTTAAAACAATAGCACAAAAATGTTTCAAGGAAGCAATCTCACAATCTGATGACCTTCTGAAATACAGTTAAGCCACATCAAATATCAATTTCTGTTAATAACAAAAAAAATTTAAAGAAAAACAAAGGGAAAAAGAAAAAAAAGGTAGGGAAAGAGGAAGGGAATGAGATTTATAGCTAAAACTCACTGGATAGGTGAGGCCTGTTAGTAGGATATACTGTTGAAGCAAAGTGTGGCACACACAGGCTTACAGTCTTTTTAAACCAGTTACCACTGACTTCTTATGCACACAGAATGAACCAGAAGCCAGCGTGATATTGTCATGAAGATGTTCAATAGTTGGCTTGTCAGACAACTAAGACCGTTTTTAGCAGAGTAAATCCTTCAGAAAGGCCTGGCTGAAAATCTTTTTATTTCTGTTTTCTCACCTATATATATTTCAGGGTTCCTAAAAGTCATCTTTAAAAAGAAAGAAAAAATAATGTTTATCAGTTTCTCTTATTTAATGCGGCTCTGAAAGATGTTTCCTTATTATTTATCTCTAAGAAGGACACCGGGGTGAGGGTTGAGGGTTGAACTAAAGGGAGGAAAAAACACAGACTAGGGCAATTTTTTTAAACCTTTTTTGGGGGGGAAGGGGGACCAAGGGGGTCACACAGAAGGGAAGGTAAGAGGCAAGGAGGAAAAAACTACAATCCTTGGTACAGATTGAGTTATGCAGGAAAATATATCTTCCTGATCAGTCCCCATGCCAAAAAAACCCATTTGGAATTATGCACAGACTCTGACTATGTTATACCAGCTATCAGCCTTTGTATTTAACCATTCCCAACAATGGGCAATACCCTTGGCTTATAGGGTGCTTGCAGAACCCTCTTCACAAAAATCCTCTTCACCCAGAAGCCTCTAGTTTCCTTTTGGTAGGTTATAAAAACAGAATATCTGTCATTAACAGGAGAGTGTTAAATACTTTTAACCACTGACAAGGCTTCAGAAAGTTTCACAGTTTTGTTATGCTCTATTTATTACTATCATATTTACATTTTTATTTATTTATTTTTTTTTTTTTGCTGAATTGCTGATTTTCCTTTTTCAATAAAATTTAATTCTGGAGTGTGAGCAGGAACCAGTTAACTACATTCATTGTCCAACCCCCACTGGTTTGAAAGAAGACTCCAAATTCTTGGCATATTAATCAGCTGTTCGGTAGCTCCACCTTGTCCCTGCAGCGAAGCAGCAGAACGCAGCGGGCCATGCCCAGGGTTCACACTGGGGGTGGTGAGGCCTTTCGCTGAAGGAGGTACTGGTGGATGCTGTCAGCATCTCGCTTTAGCCAAGCAGCATTCAGCAAGATATTTTCACAACACTGCTGGATGGTACGCTCAGCTGACGGAGCTGGGTGACTCTCAAAGAAAGCCTGGTATAAAACAATCCAGAATGTCAGATCATTACTAGGAATAGTAAGAAGTTGTTAATATCACAGATTATGAGAAAGTACCCACTGCACTATATAAAGGATTCATAAGCCTTAGTCATCAGAATTCACCCTAACCCTTAGGCTAAAAGAAAACAAGCAACTCCTTGGACCTGCATATAGTAATTCTCCCCCAAATATATGGTTAAAACCTAATCAAAAGTTAATAGTAAAGAGGCAGAACCTACTGCCTTTAGGCTAATTGTGTAGTGATTTAATTTAGGCTTTACACTCAGACTTGGGACTTGAATGTAGGCTTGGTCACACACTAGCCTGTGACTCTGAGCAGTGGTCCCCAACCTTTATTATTTATTAATTTATTTTATTTTTTAAAAAATTTGCTAATCTCTGTATTGTTCCAATTTTAGTATATGTGCTGCCAAAGCAAGCATGGTCCCCAACCTTTTTGACACCAGGTACCAGTTTTGTGGAAGACAGTTTTTCCACAGATATCAGGGTGGGGAAGGGGCTACCTTGCTCCACCTCAGGTCACCAGGTATTGGATTCTCATGGGGAGCGCTGCAACCTGGATCCCTTACATATGCAGTTTTGTGTTCCTATGAGCGTCTGATGCCCCTGCTGATCTGAGGATGAGCAATAGGGAGCTGCTGTGGGTGCTACTAGCCTGATGCCAGTCCACGGCCCAGCCGTTGGGGACCACAGACTTTCAGTTTAACTGCTCTAAGTCTCAGTTTTCTCATCTATGAGAAAATACTTACTCCAGAAGATTAAGGAGACAACACATGTAAACATTTGGCAAAATACCTGGCACAGAGAATTTAAGGACTCAATTAATTTGTAAGGGATGATGAAACTAAGAAGTTTAAATTGCTGCTGTACACTAATAATTTAATACTAATACTTCAGAATCTCATATTTGTCATAGACTAAAACTTTGAGTTCATAATTTATCACAATATTTATTAGAAGTTGAATAAACTATTTTCTAATGAAGTAAATTCATAGACA